CAAATGTTCGATAACGTTCAAATCCGGACTGTAGGGAGGAGCAGATACGAGCTGAACTCCATTCGATCGGAACCATTCGGGTAGACGAGCTCTACCACCGTTGGCAAGGCGAACAACTCGTCCCATTAGCAGTTGCGACTTGTGGCATGGAGCGTTGTCCTGGTACAGCAACCATCCTTGTCCAATTTTTGTGGTTGCAAATGGAAGAAGATCGTTCTCCAAAATCGCCTTGTATCGTTGAGCGTCCAAAGTTGAATTGAGAAGAACGAGCGGACCTGGTGAACTTCTAGTCATCGCTCCTAAAAAAAAAAGTCAATAGGCATAAAGATAAAAGTTTCTTACCCCACAACATGATTGATCCACCACCAAATTTGACGTGCGACAGCACGAAGGTATTTGGTGCTATATCGTTGTCCAACGGGTCTCCGGATCAAATGATTGCCGTCGGGATTGAAAAGGTTGATCTTCGATTCATCGGTGAAGATGACATTGGCCCAGTCGTTGCTTGTCCAACTTTCATACTTCTCGGCAAAGTCGAATCGAATCTTCCGGTGTTTGGCGACCATCAGGGGCTTCTTGGCAGGTCTTCTAGTCATCAATCCTGCATGAATCAAACGTCTGCTTACTGTCTTTCGATTGATGTCCTTGTTAAATTGATGCTTGATTAATCTGACTCCATCGGAAGCATTAAGATTTGGATCCTTTTTGTGGGCCAAAATTAGAACCTTGTCTTCTCTTGGTGTTGTGACGGGTGAACGACCTGTTTTGAATGCTCAGTGAAGAATTCCAGTCGTTTTTTCTTTCTTGCAAAGCTTTTTCACCGTTTCGGGGCTGCATTTGAATACGCTCGCAACATCCTTTACTTTGTCGCCTCGTTTCCTTGCTTCCATAATCTTTTCTTTGTCGGGAGTGGTCAGATAGGCTCCAGGCATCACTAGAATTAAAAAATAATAAAGCATTGTTATGTGAAAAATAACGAAACAACAGCAAGAAAATAAAAAGTTGAAAAGGGGTAAAGACTTTTGTCCACCTGTTTTGAGGGTTTTTTTTGTTAACGTCGTTCCTTGTTGCCTAAAATAAATCGTTGTTTCTTTTGGTTATGGGATATAAAAACTAGGGTAAAAATGCTACAAAATACTTTGAAAACAATTTTTAAAACTTGTTAAAAAGTTGAAAAAAGTTTGCGTTTTAAAAGCTGGCCTCGGTAGGGGTAAAGACTTTTGTCCATGACTGTACATGCACACTTTATTTACGAAAGAAATTTGAAGCTCAGCGTAAAACAAAGAGTAAATGAAAAAACCACTAAGAAATACCCTAAAAACTGAGTGCAAAAGTCTTACAACATTATACAGAAACATCAAAAATTAATATTCAATCGGTCCACCTTTTGCCAAAATCACTTCATTAGGTCGTTTAGGCACTGAGTTGACTAATTCGTGAAGAATTGCTGGCGAATTGTGTTCCAAACTTTTCGTATGTAGAACTATAAGTCAACTTTTGTGTGAAAGTCTTTCCTCGTAACTTCGCCTTCACGTAAGCCCATAAATTCTCAATAACGTTTAAATCAGGCGACATAGGGGGCACATTGATCAACAAAACATTATAAAGGGCAAACCATCCAGGGAGATGCGCTTTTCCTCCAATTAAGAGATTCACCGTGCGACCCATCATGAGCTTGTTCTTGTGGACCGGCGAATTGTTTTGGTAGAGAAACCATGCAGGAGCCATGTGATCCTGTGCAAATGGAAGTAGACGTCGTCATGTGCAAATGGAAGTAGACATGTCCATTGTAAGGATTTTAGGAAAAACAAGAATTCCCGTTCGGATTTACTTCAAATTTGCCCAAAAGAGCGAAATGTAATAGTTAATCCTTTTTATTTAAAGCAAGCCATACGTTGGTCGGCTAATTATTCGTTTATAAGCGAAATTTTCAGAAAGGTGGATAAGACTTTCTGATCAAAACAATAGTTACACTATAAACAATTTTTTAGATAAACAGCTTCCAGTTCGGCTCGACTGAACATGAACTGAGTTCTGTTTCGAACTCGGCCAAACCAGTAGCGCGCGCCGGTCGCTGAGAACGGCTTATAATGGTTCGAAGCAAAAATCGGATTTCGCTGGGGACCGGAAAACCCCTTTAAATGAGTCCAATTCGACTGGTCTCCAGGACGCTGTCATTTTCTTGTTTTCTGACGAAAAAGTTTCTATTTAAGAAAAGCCTTTTCTTTATTCAATTCATATATTTCTTATTAAAAGGTTATTTCTAACAAATTTAGAGCCACAGGACAACTCATCCGGATACGAAGCACTGACATTTGAACATCCCAAAAACCCGATTTTTGCTGGATGGTCAAAAGAAGATTTTCTTCGGCTCAATTTTTGATTAGGTTAACATTGTCTAAGCACTTTGGTGTCATCATCATTTTTCATAACAGACAAAATACTACATTCTAATGTATTAAATTCCCGAAATTTTTCTCTTAGATAAATTTTTTCGTTAGAAAACAGCCACAAATGACAGTGTCTCGGGGGCCGGTCGATGGAACTCGTTTTCCTTTATCTCGTGAGAACACCGAGGCGACATTGCCGTTTTTGGCCACGTTTTTGTTGGGTTGATTGGGCTGTATAAATACTTTTTGATAAGAAATTCGAATTTAAGCATCGTTCTGCATTTGTAGTTATTTAAAATCAAAAAATCGAGGGTGGTCCTATCATTTTGCAACGCACTGTACAGAACAAATTCTATTAGGTGAGTGCCTTAAAAAGCTTATCAATCCTTATCAATCAGCTTATCAATCAATTTGTCCAGGGAAATGACTTATTCATCTTTGTGACTCAAGTGGGTAGGGGAAGGGGGGGGGGGCTTGCCCTTGCCACTTTTGGGTGGGTCGAGAAGGGTGATTGCCGCAAAGACCAGAATGTTTATTTTTGATCGGGCTCAAATATTTACCAATATCCCCCTTATGGCTATCTTTAAAGGGTCTGATGATCACCCCAAACTGTGGAAAGTCAATAGAGATTCGTATTTATGCTGGATTTCTGCTAATTGCCTTGAATTTTAAGGTCATATTCTATTGGGAATCTTATTGCTCGTGTTTTTTTGCTCACGAAGTATGGAACAACACGAAGTATGGAATAACTTGATGGAGATGAAGAAAAAGGACAGGTAAGATTCAAACTTGAACTTGTGCATTAGCAACTCTGTAGAAACAAGCAAACTTCGTTTCCTCTCCGACTCCCGGCAGAGATTCAACATGAAACACTGAAAAAGTTGGGCGTTGTGGAAACGCTGAAGTTGTTGAAAGTGACGAAATCACTTCGCTGTTGGGCACTTCGAAATGCAAAAGTGGTAAGGTTTTTTTTTAAGAGCTACATAAACCTCGATTAGCTCGATGGATGGATGCAAGATGCTCTAGACAAGGGAGTTTCTGAGCTTCGAAAAGAATTTAAGCAGCTTTCCGACCGGATTCCTGGTTGGACTTCAACTCGCGCCTACATGGCAAATAGGCGTAGAAACCGGTTGGTTTAAGGTTTAAAATTTGGGTACTTTTCGGGTTGGAGGAGTCATTGACCAGACATTTTACCAGTCATCGACCGGACCAGGCCGTACTCAAATAGTCGGATTGAACTCAATCAGATCAATTTTAATGTAAATTGAGAAGGAATTGCAATGCCAATGGTATCAAAATTGTACTGATTGAGTCAAGACTGACTGCTTGATTACGGTATTTTCGTAAAATAGGTGCCTCTTTGAAAGTGCTCGAGATGTACACACTCTATAAGTGATCCTGATGCTCGGATCCCGAGGATAGGGCTCTTGTCTTATGATAAGTTAACAATAAGTTACGAATATATGCAACTGTACGATAGATACAATAACAATGGGCTTTTCAAAACTGATCTGACGAAAGCAGGCAATCACCGAACTCATAAACTAATATTTGCTTAGGGTTTTTGAGTAAAAATGTAACTGGTTAAACTTCACATTTGATTTTGAGCTGTCTCATCTGCTTTGATATTGACCCATAGTTTTTTCAGTTCTGGTGGTCAAACTTGTGGAGATGCTCATCGGGTTGTGATCACTCATAAAGACGCTCAAAATAAATATATTCATGCAAATTATGTGGCAACGCCGAGTTCCGAGAGACGTTTCATTTCTACTCAGGGGCCTCTTGACAGGACGATTGTCGATTTTTGGTTGGTCGGCTACTCAATTATGAAGCTTACTTAACTTGCCTTGTTTATAAGCTAGTTTCTTATTCCTTCTTCTTATTTTAAAAACGGGCATATAATTAACACTGAGGGCATTCAGGGTACGGTAATTGAAACGTGTCTTAGAAAACAGGACCCTATCTCTGAGTAGGACAAGAAAAAAGTTGGAACTTTGCGCAAAATGATTATTTTTAATTACTTTTTGAACTAAAATGTTTAAAAAAGATTGTAAAATAAAAATTATCAGACAGATTTTCTTCTATAGTGAACTTTTTTCAAAGTAAAAGCTTCAAACCTTGGTCTTGAATTTGAGATTTTCATACCTTTCCCTTTCTAAAACTTGAGTGATTCTAAAAAATTTCATATAACTTGAAAAAAGCAAATTGGTTGAAGGTGCAAGATTTTATGGCCGTTTTACGAACTTAAGTTTTGGCTTCTTCGCGTTTTTTGACTTTCTAAAAAACTGCCGATGGAATTTAAAAATGATATTGAGGTTCGGATTTAGAACACTCTTTTCTATCGAATGATAGGCATAACATCAATTTTCATCAGAAAATGCACTTTCGCGCGGATGTGCGACAAGGTTTTCATTCTTTTTTTTGAATTTTTGACCTTTAATCTAAAACAGTTGATCGGCAACCAATTTTGTGAAAAGTAGGTGTGAATTGGTTGGCTGTGAACTTTTGTAGACTTGTTTAAAGATCAAAAAACCAAGAAAAAAATTGAAAAACCTTGTGGCAAATGGGTTAAGGTTGATGATGCTTCAAGAAGAATCTGATACAATCGTCATGTTATGTGATTTCGTCGACAACGAGGGTTACACAAAATGTGCTCAGGTTTGGTTTGTGATCGGAACTTCAAACTCGTCATTTTAGTATTTTCCAAGAAATGAAAACCAGACAATGAGGATCACTGAAAAGCTTGAAATCACAAATGTTGAGGTTAGTTCAAGATTAGCTCGATGCATTGACTAACCGTCAGGCTCATCATCAAATCATCGACGAATTTTCATGGCTAAAAGTTGCGACTTTTAAAATGATATATAACAACGATGGAAAAAAGCAGCATCGAATGGTATTTTTCGGTATTTAGCTTAAAGATTTCTTTCAGATCCGACACTTTATGTGGGAAGGTTGGCGAGAAGGGGAAGTTCCGAGCTGTTTGCGGACTCCAATCGTGAGTTTTCAACAAATTAAATAACTTTGTTGATAACAAGGGTGGTAAATTAAAGCAATCTTTATTTTTGAATCCAATATTTTTACGATTCATAGTTTCTACCAGACTTGCTAAACGAGAATTAACGAGATAAATGGGTCGCGCAACTCCCGGCGTTTGATCTAGCCTCGGAGTATCGGATTCCAATTTTCTTTTTTTATTTAAAAGCCAGGATTTTAAGCTATCTGATGATATTCATTACTAATGTTTTTCTTTTGAAAAAGTGGGTCAAAAACCTTCTGAGACTTAACGGATAACGAGCACTTGTCGGTTAAGTCTCATTAAGGTTTTTGACTCAATTTTTGGAGGGGAAAAACATTAGTAATGAATATCATTAGATAGCTTAAAATCTTGGTTTTTAAATAAACATAAGTTTATTGCAATCCGATACGCTGGAGGCTAGATCAAGTGCCTGGAGTTGCGTGACCCGATTTTCTGATCGGTCTCGTGATGGAAGTCTATTTTCTATTGTAAGAAAGTATATTTTTTTTTCCAAAATGGCTTGCTGTGATTCAAAGGTATTTATTGATGATTGATTGCTAAAAAAGACTAAAAAGCGCTTTATCTACTTAATCTGTGTAAAGCTTTTGAGTGATTCAGGAACTACTCGCCCAAATCCGCGGTTCACAAAAACCAATCGTGATGCATTGTGGTGGTGGGACGGGAAGAACGTCGATTTTGGTGGCTATCGAGTGAGTGAAAGTATTAAATCAGCGCATTAATTTATCATTTCACTTTTAGATATTTACTTGAATGCAGTAACCTGAAAACAGGAATCCCTCCAATGTGCGATCTAATGAAAGAACTCCGATCATACCGGCTGTGGTCGATTCTCTTCGATTTGGTTAGTTGGGTTAGATGGTCGTGTTTCTGTTTTCAAAAATTTTGCGAGGTTTCAATTTCGAGCTGTTTTTCATTTTTTGGTCTATTGTTAAATTAAAATCTGACTTATCTAAAAGCCAAACGTTAATTGGTTTATAGGTTTCTATTAACCCAATCATCTAACTTTTGAGGATTTCTTAATAAGAATTCAAGCGTGAACAGCGCTCATTTTTTTTGATTAATGACTTACTCTGATTACATTGAATTTTTTCATAAAAAAACCTAAGTGAATCTTCAGCAATATCTCTACATTCATCGTGTCATCTTCGATCACTTTCTCGACAAACAAAAAGCAAAATTTGAGGTGAGCGAAGAACAGTTTACAAGGAGAAAATGAAAAAAAGAAAGCTACCGTAAATATGCTAAACGCAGAATTACGACCAGATTAATAATCTCAAAATTTCAGGTCTTTCACCAAGAAAAAAATCGAGCAAAATATGAAAAATTCGTCATGGATTACGAGGATTCGTTAAAAGATCGTTTTTTGAAAGGCACAACCCTCTCCTTCTCCATATTCCGGGAGTTGATACGAGATCGTGCTCTGAGGAGGAGGAGGGGGGAGGAGGAGGAGCGGGGGAGGATTTGTTGTTGACACATATTAGAATGTTGACGGAAACGTTAAATTTTATATTTCTCATAGCAAGTCATCTGTGTGTTATAAATAGAGTGTGTACATTTCGAGTAATGCACTTTCTGAAAGTTACCTATTTTACGCAACTGTCGTAATCAGTCAGTTTTGACTCAATCATCTCAACCTTTGTATCAGTCAATGAGGAATTTCAATGCTCAAGCAATGACACCAAAATTCAAGTGATTGGTCAAAGCTGCTTGGTTGCTTTGCTTTGTGAAATAGGTACCTTTTAGAAAGTGGGCACTACTCGAGGGATGTACACATTCCAGTTATGACTCTTTGCATTTTATGATAGACTTTTTAGGAATTTCTAGGAACTTTAGGAAGCTTTTTTTGGGTAGTTTACAATCGTTTTTGTGCACGCTGATCATGTTTTTTTTCTCTCTTTGCACTTGTTCAAAATGAATAAAGTTTTCATACGTTGCGAAAGCAAAACTACTGTTTGCTTAATCGAAATAGAAATACTAGCAGGTTGATCGGAAAGTCTGGTCTGCTTTTTTAAAGGTTACTTTTTAGAAATCAATAATAAGCCAATTGATTTATGATTTTTTTAACAGAAATTCTATTCATTTACAAATTGCCCTACAATTACAAGTTTGTTTCCCAATTCTTAAAAACTCGCGTTAGTTGATTTTTTTAAAGGTGTGAAGTGGAGCAGTCAAAAACGATGAAACTCTTCGCTTTGAGCACAGAAACCTATTTTGGTGTCAAAGAAGATAGAGAATAAAAAGTTAGGCAGATAGGCAAATTTTTATAACATTTTATCAAGTCGCTTTCATTCTACGTCCATTGTAAGGATTTTAGGAAAAACAAGAATTCCCGTTGATTCAAAGCTGACTTAAATTTGCCTAAAATAGCTAAAAGTAATAGTTAATCCTTTTTATTTAAAGCAAGCCATACGTTGATCGGCTAATTATTCATTTATAAATGAAAATTTCAAAGAGGACAAGAGTTTCCGGCCAAACCAATATTTCAAACAGTGTAATAGTGAAAAGCGAGAATAACAGGAAACCGACATCTTTACTTGAATTTTTGACTTGAATCTGACTTTGATTTAGGACTTGGACTCGGATGTAACCTGGATTTTGTTAGACCAAAGCAATGAACAATTCAAACAAGAAAAGTTGGAAGGGGAAGGGGAGTCCCTTCCACTTCCCACTTTTGGGTGGGTCGGGAAGGGGGATTGCCGCACTATAAGCCTCAGTACAACAGTACGTTGATGCCCCCTTTATTCCATTTGAGAAACCCGTTGACGTTTACTTCAAGATGGACAATCGAATGTGCAAAGCTATGAATTGCAGCTCATACGCTCTTATGTGTTTTGCTAAATGTAGCATTGGACTATGTTTTACTCATTTCAGCGATTGTTGTCATGTTTGTGAAATTCTTCGTTTATTTTGATATTTATATTATTTGTTGTTGAACACTTGAAAGAAAGATTTGAACAAAATTTTTGAATATTTAGCAATTACGAAGAAAAGGGTTTAGGGTATATAACAACTGTTCAAACAAAAGAAAAACTCAATGGTAGTCGAACCTAGAGTGTGTTCCTCTCAAATCAAATCTTTCAAATCATGTTTTCTAAACCGTGCTCCTTTCTCATTTTTTAAAAACTGTGCATCAGGTCGAGATCAAATTTTGGCGTATAATCAACAAAACTTCAATTGTTATTAGGAAGAAATTTGAGAAAAAGTTATGGTTTAGTTTTTTTTATAAGCTCGTCCAAAGACGCCGCCATTTCATATTCCCAATATGAATTCAAGGGAAAGACGATGGTGAAAATCATTTTTTGATTCATTCAGTTTAAAAGTTTTGCTAAAGGTTTTACTAGACCCACAATTGTGTTTCTCTTGATTTCAGCTTTCGAATAAGCCCTACCACGTTGGGAATAATTAAGTTTGAGCTGCTCCCAAAAAAACGGAGAGAACTTATTTACCAATTCAATCGAAACAACTTACGAGTTGTAAGATAAGTTAATCTCTCAAAGTTACCTATTCAAGAGAAATTCTTTTTCACAACTTCAGCACTTTCACAACTTTCACAACTGAAATGTGAAAAGCGTTTTCATCAAATAGATCGTTTTCATCAAAAAAGCTTTAGAAATTATCACTGATATATGCATATTTTCCTTTTAGGTTTTCGTAATCTAGAAATGAATATATCGAATCGACAAAGTTGCTTTAATGTTCAATAAAACAAATGAGTTGTTAAAGTTTAAACTTTTCAAATCAACAAATATTATTTAGTTAAAAATGTCAAGGAAATTTATGCTTATTTTATAATTGTGAATTTTGAAAAGTCAACTTATGTTTAGTCCCTAGTTTATTTCTTTCCAAGCCCCAGAATGTTTATTTTTGATCGGACTCAAATATTTACCAATATTCCCCTTATGGCTATCTTTGAAGGGTCTGATGATGGCCCCAAGCTGCGGAAAGTCAATAGAGATTTGCATTTATGCTGAATGTCTGCTAATTGTATTGAGTTTTAAGCTCCTATTCTATTGGGAATCATTACTCGTGTTTTTATTGCTCACGAAGTATGGGACAACGATGTTGTGTGAGTAACTTGTTAAATTGGCATAAAGAAGGTTCGAAAACGTTTTCAGTTTCCACTGTTTCCGAACGAACCTCTGTTTCCTTTAATAATAGAAAATATTTACGATTCTGAGCCAATAACAAGACAGAGAGTTTTGCCGGATGAACAGGAAATAAAGATGTTGATGGAAAAAAAGGACAGGTAAAATTCAACCTTGAACTTGCGCATTAGCAACTCTGTAGAAACAAGCAAACTTCGTTTCCTCTCCGACTTCCGGCAGAGCTCCAACATGAAATACTGAAAAAGTTGGGCATTATTGAAACGCTGAAATTGTTAGAAGTGACGAAATCACTTCGCTGTTGGGCACTTCGAAATGCAAAAGTGGTAAGGTTTTTTTAAGAGCTACGTAAACTTGCAAAGATGCAAGATGCTCTGGGAGTTTCTGAGCTTCAAAAAGAATTTAAGCGGCTTTCCGACCGGATTCCTGATTGGACTTCAAATCGCGCCTACTTGACAAATGGGAGTAGAAACCGGTTGGTTTAACGTTTAAAATGTGGGTACTCTTCGGGTTGGAAGAGTCCTTGACCAGGCATTTTTTGATCAGTTTTCGTTTTACCTTTCTAGGCTTTATATCAACTTTTCAACGTAAAAAATTATGCAAAATTAATGAGAAACACGTTCGAAAAGTTTGAAAGTGTTTTGGGACATGATCTGGATCATTTGATCAAGTAATTTCTCTGTAGGGCTGTTCTACACAGTGACAAGGTTGATGTGATAAGGTGACATATAAAAAGTCATTCTAAACATCCCTAAAGTATTTCCAATCGGTTCAGCATAGACAATTCTGAAAAAGTAGAGTCTGGCCACCATTAGCCCCAAAGTACCAAAGCCTGAGTTCCGCATTCGTCTTTCTTGATTACGAAAGAAATTTCACAATCTTTCTATTCTACCGTGCTTTTTCAAATGTCAAAAACCATGAAATTGAGAGGGATTTTTGAGTGATTTGAGTTAACGATTAGTTTCACGAATCAGGAAAGAATGTGCCGAAGCTCGAACCTGTGACCTTTCATATACCGGGCAATTGTTCTACCAATGAGCTACATCGCAAGTGATTAAAGTGTGTACATCTCGCGTAATGCAATTTCAAAAAGGCACCTAAGTGGCACCATTAAAAGTACCGTACTCAAATAGTCAGATTTAACTCAATCAGATCAATTTTAATGTAAATTGAGAAGGAGTTGCAATGCCAACGGTGTCAAAATTAAACTGATTGAGTCAAAACCGAATGCGTGATTACGGTATTTTTGTTCAACAGGTGCCTTTTAGAAAGTGATCGAGATGTGCACACTTTACAAGTGATCCTGATGCCCGGATCCCGAGGATAGGGCTTATGCTTTATGATAAGTAAACAATAAGTTACGAAAATTGTACAATAGAATGGAAAAGTACAATGGACTTTTCAAAACGGATTTCACGAAAGCAGGCAATCACCGAACTCATAAACTAATATTTGCTTACAGTTTTTGAGTAAAAATGTAACTGGTTAAACTTTTGAAAAGGTGCGTTGAAAAATGATAGGACCATCCCCAATTTTACATTTTCTTGACTAATAATGCAAAATAGCTTTTAAATGAAAGAAAGAAAATTTAAAGAAAAACGAATGAAAAGTTCATTAATAATCAATAGATGCTCGCTTTTTCTCGATGACGTCTAGTAGTCAACTTTTCATCGAGTTCACTAAGTTTTGAAGCGTTTGTGGTGGAATGGACGTTCAAGCTTGCAAAATTGCTTTTTGGAGTTGCGAAATCGTGTCGTAAGTCTTTCCATTAGCATAAATATTCCTCACGAAGATGCCCCATAAGTTTTCCATTGGGTTTAAGTCCGGTGAGCAGGCAGAAAATTGATGTTGTGACGTCCCAGAAAAGCTTTAGTGTATTGGCTGACATGAATTGAAGCATTATCCTGTTGAAAAATATAGCGTTTCCCTCAATTTTGTGCTAGGAAAGGAAGTAATTGATCCGCAAGGACGTCCTGATAATCGTTCGAGTTCATGCGACAAGTTACAAATTCTAAATCAAGAACGTCATCCACCTTGAAAGCGCTCCATATCATGAGTGATCCTCCTCCGAAGTTTCGACGCTCACAAAGCATTGGATCTTTTCTCAAGTCGTGCCAATAGTATTTGTTGCCGTCGGAACCATCCAAATTAAATTTTTTCTCATCGCTGAAGATGACCTACACAAACAAAATAGTTAACAACTCAAGGCAAAAAGTTGACTTTTTTTTCAATCGATGGTGTTGTGATTCCGAGGCAACCTTTTTTCTTTGTGTGCCGGCTTCAGTTTTGGTGTTTTCTTCATGACTGCTCTTTTGATGTAAAGGATGTGACACTTGATGGCTCGAGAAAGAGTGCTTTTGTGGACGGGAGCTCCAATTTGTACCTTGAGGTCCTGTAGCGAGACCACCGAATTCGACAACAGACGTCCAATATGCCGTTCAACGCGGACCGTGAGCTTTTGATGACGTCCCGGAGACCATTTCTTTCCATACTTGGAAGGATCCTGCAAGAAATTTGAGACAACCTGGTGCGAGCGCCTTATTTTTTGCGATCTCCCGATTCGACAACTTTCTTGGTTTCAAAATCAAAATTTTCATCTGTTCGATCCGCGAAAGCGATCTTCATCTTCCTAAAAAATAAAAATTAGTAAAAAGTAAGCAAAAAATATGGTCATTACAGGTAGAAAATCAAAAAGAGACGTAGTGATCCTATCATTCTGCAACAGTTGTAAAATCAAGAAATGCGTAAAAAATTTGGCCTTTTAAATAAATTGTTTGGCAACGGTATTTGTGCGTGCTTTTGTATATAAAATTTGAATTTAAGCATCGTTTTGCATATTTATTTATTTAAAACCAAAAATCGCAAAAATCGAGGGTGGTCCTATCATTTTGCAACGCACTGTAGCAGTAAATCTTCTCATTTGATTTTGAGCTGTCTCATCTCCTTTGATATAGGGTTGTGATCACTCATAAAGACGCCCCTAATCAGATTGATGCAAATTATGTGGGAACGCCGAGGTCCGAGAGACGTTTCATTTGTACAGAGACGCCCGATGACAGGACGATTGCCGATTTTTGGTTGGTCGGCTCAATAAATAAGCTTACATAAGTTGCTTTGTTTATAAGCCACTAGTTTCTTATTTCAAAAACGGGCATATAATTAACGCTGAGGGCATTTAGGGGTACGGTAATTGAAGCGTGTCTTAGAAAACAGTACCCTAGAGTAGGACAAGAAAAAAGTTATAACTTTGCGCAGAATGATTATTTTTAATTACTTTTTGAACTAAAATGTTTAAAAAAGATTGTAAAATAAAAATTATCAGACAGATTTTCTTCTATAGTGGACTTTTTTCACAGTAAAAGCCTTCAAACCTTGGTCTTGATTTTGAAATTTTCATACTTTTCCCTTTCTAAAATTTGAGCAATTCTAACAAATTTCATATAACTTACAATAATTGAAAGGAAGCTGAAATTGTCTATTTTGAGAATATTTGAAAAAAAGCAAATGGATTTAAGATGCAAGATTTTATGGCCGTTAAGTTTTGGCTTTTTTGCGTTTTTTGAAAAAGCCCACTTTCTAAAAAACTGTTGAAGGAATTCAAAAATGATATTGCGGTTCGGATTTAGAACACTTTTTCTTTTCCTTTTTTTTGGATTTTTGCCCTTTAATCTAAAACAGTTCATCGGCAATCAGGTTTATGGAAAGTCTAATTGGTGAATTGGTTGGCTGTGAACTATTGTAGACTTGTTTAAGGATCAAAAAGTCAAAAAAAATGGAAAAACCTTGTGGCAAGTGTGTTAAGGTTGATGATACTTCAAGAAGAATCTGATACAATCGTCATGTTATGTGATTTCTTCGAGGCTTCCCTAGAACGTGCCCAGGTTTTGTGTGTGATCGGAACTTCAAACTTATCATTTTAGTATTTTCCAAGAAATAGAAACGAGGCAATGAGGATCACTGAAAAGCTTGAAATCACAAATGTTGAGGCTAGTTCAAAATTAGCTCGATGCATTGACTAACTCTTCAGATTCATCATCAAATAATCTACGAAATGTCATGGCTAAAAGTTGCGACTTTTAAAATGAGATATGACAACGATGGAAAAAAGGAGTATCGAATGGTATTTTTCGGTATTTAGCTTAAAGATTTCTTTGAGATCCGACACTTTATGTGGGAAGGTTGGCGAGAAGGGGAAGTTCCGAGCTGTTTGCGGACTCCAATCGTGAGTTTTTAAATTAAATAACTTTGTTGGTAAGATAAAGCAATTTTTATTTTTGAACCTGATATTTTTACGATTCATAGTTTCTACCAGACTTGCTCAACGAGAATTAAGGAGATAAATAGGTCGCGCAACTTCCGGCGTTTGATCTAGCCTCGGAGTATCGGACTCCAATTTCCTTTTTATTTAAAAACCGATATTTTAAGCTATCTAATGATATTGATCACTAATGTTTTTCTTTCAAAAAAGTGAGTCAAAAACCTTAATGAGACTTAACCGACAAGTGCTCGTTATCCGTTAAGTCTCAGAAGGTTTCTGACCCACTTTTCCAAAAGAAAAACATTAGTAATCAATATCATTAGATAGCCTAAAATCTTGGCTTTTAAATGAAAAAGTTCATTGGAATCCGATACTCTGGAGGCTAGATCAAGCGCCTGGAGTTGCGCGACCCGATTTTCTGATGTGTCTCGTTGAGGAAGGCTAGTTTCTACTGGAAGAAAGGTATACTGTTTTTTTCCAAAATGGCTTGTTGTGATTTAAAGGTATTTATTGATGATTGATTTTTGAAAAAGCCTAAAAAGCACTTTATCTACTTAAACTGTGTAAAGTTTTTGAGTGATTCAGGAACTACTCGCTCAAATCCGCGGTTCACAAAAACCGATCGTGATGCATTGTGGTAGTAGGACGGGAAGAACGTGGATTTTGGTGGCTATCGAGTGAGTGAAAGTGTTAAATCAGCGCATGAATTTATCATTTCACTTTTAGATATTTATTGGAATGCAGCAAGCTGAAAACAGAATGTTTGAGCTCCTATCTAATGTTTGATCGAACGAAGAAACCTCGATCATCTTGTCTGTGGTCGATTCACTTCGATTTGGTTAGTTGGGTTAGATGATCGTGTTTCTAAGTTTTCAAAAATCTTGCGAGGTTTCAATTTCAAGCTGTTTTTTGGATTTTTTGGTCTATTTTTAAATGCAACTTATAGAGAGTAACCAAAACGAGTAAAGTAAAGCGAAATCTGACTTATCTAAAAGCAAAACGTTAATTGGTTTGTGGGTTTCTATTAACCCAATCATCTAACTTTTGAGGATTTCTTAATAAGAATTCAAGCGTGAACAGCGCTCATTTTATTTATTTAATGACTTAATCTGATTAAAAACTCTGATTACATTGGATTTTTTCATAAAAGACCTAAATGAATATTCAGCATGATTTCTATGTTAGTAGTGTCATCTCCGATCACTTTCGCAACCGACGAAAAGCGAATTTTGAGGTCAGCGAAGAACAGTTTACAAGGAGAAAATGAAAAAAAGAAAACTACCGGAGATATGCTAAACGCAAAAGATAAGACCAGATTAATAATCTCAAAATTTCAGATGATCAAGAAAGAAATCGAGCAAAGTAGGCAACAAGTTGGTCAGGGATTACAAGGGTCTGACACTAGATCGTGCTTTTGAACCCAGATTTTTCCATTAGGCACCAAGAATGAGGTGTTGTTGACACATATTCGAATGTTGACGGAAACGTTACATTTTATTTTTCGCATAGCAAGTCATCTGTGTGTTATGAAGAGAGTGTGTACATTTCGAGTAATGCACTTTCTGAAAGGTACCTATTTTACGCAACTGTCGTAATCAGTCAGTTTTGACTCAATCATCTCAACTTTCGTATCAATCAATAAGGAATTTCAATGCTCAGGCAATCACACCAAAATTGAAGTGTTTGGTCAAAACTGCTTGGTTGCTTATATTCGTGAAATAGGTACCTTTTAGAAAGTGGGCATTACTCGAGGGATATACACACTCTAGTTATGACTCTTTGCATTTTATGATAGAAGCTTTTTTGGGTGGTTTACAGTCGTTTTTGTGCGCGCTGATCATGTTTCTTTTCTCTCTTTGTACTTGTTGAAAATGAATAAAATTTTCATATGTTGCAAAAGCAAGACTACTGTTTGCTTAATCGAAATAGAAATATTACCAGGTTGATCGGAAAGTCTGGTCTGCTTTTTTAAAGGTTACTTTTTAGAAATCAATAATAAGCCAATTGATTTATGATTTGTTTTATCCTATTTATTTACAAATTGCTCTACATTTACAAATTTATTTACAAATTCTGAAAAACTCACGTTAGATGATTTTTTTAAGGTGTGAAGTCGAGCAGTCAAATACGATGAAACTTTTCGATTTGAGCTGGTCATTATAAGCAATTTTAATTATAAGATTGGAAATGGGAAAGATCAATATTCAGTTGAAAAGCAAGCATGCCCCAAGCACTGTTTTGAGCATTTGAATTTACCGATTAGTTTGGAAATTTGCATCCGGGGGCTTTCATTTTCCATCAGATAGCTAAAACTGGCTCTGTCGCAAATCTGATAGCTTATAAGGGCTTATAAATATAAATGTGTTAGTTTATAAAAGTAGGGTGCAATGACCGTGATGCCTTCAAGCTTTTGTCAACAACAAGGACTGGCATGACACGTTTAAAAAACCTCAAAGTGCTTTTGAGATGATGAAAGCGTCGTCAATCTATTTTTTTCGGTTGAATGTCATGAAAAGGACTTGTCAACTATTTTTGTTGAACGTTTTCTCGCTTTTAGACAAAACTATGAGTCAGCTTTGTCAAATAATATTAGTTAAATGGTACTATGGAGTCCCATGAGGGTTTTTTTCCTAAAAACAGAAGTTTGAATCATTTCCCCCTATAAATAGACTGAAAATAGACAAACACTTTGTCAAAAAAACGATGAAACTCTTTTTCTTACTCTTTTTGATTTCCTTTGTTGTCACTTCAATGGCTTTGGTATGTTTTTTGAGTTCTTCAAATGATAAATACGAATTGTATTGGTAAATGAAAAGTGAAAAGATAATTTAGGAAGGTTTTCCGCGAAAATGTCGCGGAGAAGAGCAATTTTGCCCGCAGGAAAAGGTTTGCTGCTGGTCGAATACCGAAGGGAAGGGTCCGCGGTATTGCACAGATGTGGATAAATGCGCCAATGGGAGAGACGATGACTAAAGGATGTGCACACAAATTAAAATGTAAAAGAACCGACAATAAATATTAGCATCACAAGAAAGATTTATGAGAAAACCTTAGCCAACTGTAAATGATAATTTCTCCTAGTGGATGTTTGCCCGAATCGATAGTCGCTTTATAAGGTGAAATCCACTGGAAAACCGGTGGATTTTGTCCTTAGTTATTTTATAAGGTAAAATCCATTGTTTATCAGTGGATTTTGCTTTTACTTTCTTTATAAAGTAAAATCCACTGGTTTTCCAGTGGATTTTGTCCTTAGTTGGTTTATAGGGTGAAGTCCACTGGAAAACCGGTGGAATTGACCCTTAGCTGCTTTACAAGTTAAAAACCACTGGAAAACCAGCGGATTTTGTCCTTAGTTGGTTTATAGGGTGAAATCGAAAAGGATTTTGAAATGTCAATCTCTTTCCTGAAGATGACTTTCTTTTTCTAGTCATCTGAATTATAAACAAAATTTTTGAGAAAAATAGGAAAGAATTTTAAAGAGTTATTCCCAAATATCGTAGCAATCTTAGTAAATGTTTAGAAATTGTGGAAAATTTAGAACTCAAACTTAAAAGAAAAAAAACATTGGAGAAGATGGTTGAGTACAATGGTTCTTGAAATCGATTGGAATCGATCACATGAAATGTTTTTTTATTGCAAGCTCAAAATTTCATTGTTTAAAGCCAAGTTTTATTTCTAACTTGTTTCATTCTGACTAGGAGTTTATCAAAATAAAAGGCAAGTTCCAAGTAAACCAAACTTTGCCTAGTCAAGAGGAAAACCTCCTGGCTCTTCTTCTTTCGGGTAAAAAGTTTCTCTCGTGAACACAATAACAACAGCTCTTCAACAGAACAACAAGAAGCTTTCAAAATTCGCAAATTGGTCAAATGGAAACGGATTTCGTTTTGAGCTACAAATAGGGACCTCTTTCAGTACAAATCTCACAAAAAAAACGTTCGACCCTCATTTTTTGCGTCTAAGAATAGATAAATTTTCAACAAAGCTAGGCACAATTAAACACGCGTTTTTCTAGATAAAGCTAGACACAATTTTGATGGTTTTTCAATAACGGGCCATGTACTCTGCCACAGTGTTTTTTGCTAAAAAATCAACTTCCTAGGGTAGATTTTGGTCAGAGATTAGGATTTTTACATGATTATGGTTTATCGTCAAAAAAAGCCCTTTAAAAAATGGGGTAACTACACAATTATCTTTTTTGCGACTAGCAGACCATGTTTGGAAGGTGTTCTACGTAAAATTCACCCCGGTAAGTGACATCAGTCTGCACATTTTTATCAGTTTTTAAATGGGGAATGATGAAATCAAAAGCCTTCAACAAGTGAGATAAACAGGCGCCACAAGGAAATACAGACAAACAGAGTCTGACAATTAGTCATATAAACACCGCTCAAAATGAGTCAATGCACACAAAAATGTTTAGCAGAAACGTTTATCAGTATTTAATTTCAAAAGAAAAATGTCTTTTTTTGAAAACACCCGCCTCTAAGGATCACAAACAATTTGCTCGAAAAACAGGAACTTTTCTTCAAGATTTCATTTCGAAAAACAAGTACTTGAACTTCAAAATTTCATTTCGCTAAAGTGAGCTTTGTGTGCTTGCAAAGTTAATTTGAAACTAATCGTTGAACAGGAAATAAGGATGTTGATGGGGAAAGAGGACAGGTAAAATTCAACCTTGAACGTGTGCGTTAGTAACTCTGTAGAAACAAGCGAACTTTGTTTCGTCTCCGGCTTCCGGCAGAGCTTCAAAATGAAATGCTGAAAAAGTTGGGCGTTGTGGAAACGCTCAATTTGCTGAAGGTGACGAAATCACTTCGCTGTTGGGCACTTCGAAATGCAAAAGTGGTAAGGCTTTTTTAAGAGCTACATAAACTTCGAATTAGCTCGATGGATGGATGCAATATGCTCTAGACATGGGAGTTTCTGAGCTTCGAAAAGAATTTGAGCAGCTTTCCGACTGGATACCTGATGGGACTTCAACTCGCGCCTACATGGCAAATGCGAGTAGAAACCGGTTGGTTTAACGTTTAAAATTTGGGTACTTTTCGGGTTGGAGGAGTCATTGACCAGACATTTTTTGATCAGTTTTCGTTCTACCTTTTCTAGGCTTTATATGAACTTTTCAACGTAACAAATTATGCAAAATTAATGAGAAACACGTTCGAAAAATTTGAAAGTGTTTTGGGATATGATCTGGATCATTTGATCAAGTAATGTCTCTGTAGCTTTGTTCTACACAGTGACAAGGTTAATGTGAGAAAGTGACATATAAAAAGTTATTCTCAACTTCCCTAAAGTCTTTCCAATCGGTTCAGCATCGACAATTCTGAAAAAGTGGAGCCTGGCCTCCGTTAGCCACAAAGTTTACGATTAGTTTCACGAATCAAGAAAGAAGGTGCCGAGGCTCGAACCTGTGACCTTTCATATACCGGGTGATTGTTCTACCAGCTACAGCGCAAGTGATTAAATTATGTACATCTCGCGTAATAGCTTTCAAAGAGGCACCTAAGAGGCAGAACTAAAAGTTCCGTACTTAAATAGTCAGATTCAACTCAATCAGACCAGTTTTAATGTAAGTGGAGAAGGAATGGCATCAAAATTGTATTGATTGAGTCAAAACTGACGGCTTGATTACGGTATTTTCGTAAAATAGGTGCCTTTTAGAAAGTGCTCGAGATGTACACACTTTATAAGTGATCCTGATGCTCGGAACCCGACGATAGGGCTTATGTCTTATGATAAGTTAACAATAAGTTACGAAAATATACAACTGTGCAATGACAATGGGCTCTGCAAAACTGATCTCACGAAAGCAGACAATCACCGAACTCATAAACTAATATTTGCTTAGGGTTTTTGAGCAAGAATGTAACTGGTTAAACTTCACATTTGATTTTGAGCTGTCTCATCTTCTTTGAGATTGACCCATAGTTTTTTCAGTTCTGGTGGTCAAACTTGCGGAGATGCTCATCGGGTTGTGATCACTCATAAAGACGCTCAATCTGAGTATATTCATGCAAATTATGTGGGAACGCCGAGCTCCGAGAGACGTTTCATTTGTACTCAGGGGCCTCTTGACGGAACGATTGCCGATTTTTGGTTGGTCGGCTACTCAATAAATAAACTTACTTAACTTGCTTTGTTTATGAGCCGCTAGTTTCTTGCTTCATCTTCTTATTTCAAAAACGAGCATATCATTAACTCTGAGGGCATTCAGGGTAATTGAAGCATGCCTTAAAAAACAGGACCCTATTTCAGAGTAGGACAAGAAAAAAAGTTATAACTTTGTCCAGCTTGATTATTTTTAACTGTAAAATGAAAATTATCAGACAGATTTCTTCTATAGTGGACTTTTTTCAAAGTAAAAGCCTTCAAACCTTGGTCTTCATTTTGAGATTTTCATACTTTTCCCTTTCTAAAATTTGAGCAATTCTAACAAATTTCATATAACTTACAATATTCGAAAGAAGGCTGAAAGTGTCTATTTTGAGAATATTTGTAAAAAAGCAAATTGGCTTAAGGTGCAAGATTTTATGGCCGTTTTACGAACTTGAGTTTTGGCTTCTTTGGGTTTTTTGAAAAAGCGCACTTTCTAAAAACTGCCGATGGAATTTAAAAATGATATTGAGGTTCGGATTTAGAACACTCTTTTCTATCGAATGATAGGCATAAATTTTCATCAGAAAATGCACTTTCGGGCGGATGTGCGACAAGTTTTTCATTCTTTTCTTTGAATTTTTGACCTTGGACCTAAAAGAGTTCTTCGGCAACAAATCTTATGGAGAGTTACGCGTCTTTGAATGAATTCTCCGGTCACTAGTGCGGGAGATTTTCCGTGTTAAATATTTCATAACTTTCTTCAATTTATTTCCAGTAAAATGTTCCTTGCGTATTTCTCTTTTATTTGATACCAAAATATATGAATTGGTTGGCTGTGAACTTTTGTAGACTTGTTTCAAGATCAAAAAGCCAAGAAAAAAATTGAAGAACCTTGTGGCAAGTGTGTTAAGGTTGATGATGCTTCAAGAGGAATCTGATACAATCGTCATGTTATGTGATTTCGTCGACAACGAGGGTTACACAAAATGTGCTCAGGTTTTCGTTGTGATCGGAACTTCAAACTCATCATTTCAGTATTTTCCAAGAAAAAAAAACCAGACAATGAGGATCACTGAAAAGCTTGAAATCACAAATGTTGAGGTTAGTTCAAGATTAGCTCGATGCATTGACTAACTCTCCAGACTCATCATCAAATAATCGACGAAATGTCATGGCTAAAAGTTGCGACTTTTAAAATGATATATAACAACGATGGAAAAAAGGAGCATCGAATGGTATTTTTCGGTATTTACCTTAAAGATTTCTTTGAGATCCGACACTTTATGTGGGAAGGTTGGCGAGAAGGAGAAGTTCCGAGCTGTTTGCGGACTCCAATCGTGAGTTTTCAACAAATTAAATAACTTTGTTGATAACATGGGTGGTAAATTGAAGCTTTTTATTCATTTATTTTTTTTTTTTTATTTATTATTTATTTATTTTCGAACCTGATATTTTTACGATTCATAGTTTCTACCAGACTTGCTTAACGAGAATTAACGAGATAAATGGGTCGCGCAACTCCCGGCGCTTGATCTGCCCTCGGAGTATCGGATTCCAATTTCCTTTTTTATTTAAAAGCCAGGATTTTAAGCTATCTGATGATATTCATTACTAATGTTTTTCTTTTGGAAAATTGGGTCAAAAACCTTCTGAGACTTAACGGATAACGAGCACTTGTCGGTTAAGTCTCATTAAGGTTTTTGACTCACTTTTTTGAAAGAAAAACATTAGTGATCAATATCATTAGATAGCTTAAAATATCGGTTTTTAAATAAACATAAGTTTATTAGAATCCGATACTCTGGAGGCTAGATCAAGCGCCTGGAGTTATGCGACCCGATTTTCTGATCTGTCTCGTTATGGAAGTCTAGTTTCTATTGTAAGAAAGGTATTCTGTTTTTTTTCAAAATGGCTTGTTGTGATCTAAAGGTATTTATTGATGATTGGTTGCTAAAAAGGCCTAAAAAGCACTTTATCTGCTTAATCTGCGTAGTTTTTGAGTGATTCAGGAACTACTCTCCCAAATTCGCGGTTCACAAAAACCGATCGTGATGCATTGTGGTGGTGGGACGGGAAGAACGTCGATTTTGGTGGCTATCGAGTGAGTGAAAGTATTAGATCAGCGCATTAATTTATCATTTCACTTCTAGGTATTTACTTGAATGCAGCAACCTGAAAAGAGGAATCCCTACAATGTGCGATCTAATGAAAAAACTTCGATCATACCGGCTGTGGTCGATTCTCTTCGATTTGGTTAGTTGGGTTAGATGGTCGTGTTTCTAAGTTTTCAAAAATCTTGCGAGGTTTCAATTTCGAGCTATTTCATTTTTTGGTCTATTGTTAAATTAAAATCTGACTTATCTAAAAGCCAAACGTTAATTGGTTTATAGGTTTCTATTAACCCAATTATCTAACCTTTGAGGATTTCTTAATAAGAATTCAAGCGTGAACAGCGCTCATTTTATTTATTGAATGACTTACTCTGATTAAAAACTCTGATTACATTTAATTTTTTCATAAAAAAAACCTAAGTGAATCTTCAGCAATATCTCTACATTCATCGCGTCATCTTCGATCACTTTCTTGACAGACAAAGAGCAAAATTTGAGGTAAGCGAAGAACAATTTACAAGGAGAAAATAAAAAAAAAAACTGCTGTAAATATACTAAACGCACAAGATACGACCAGATTAATAATCTGAAAATTTCAGGTCTTTCACCAAGAAAAAAATCGAGCAAAATATGAAAAATTCGTCAAGGATTACAAGGGTTTGATACGAATTCGTGCTTTTTTGAAGCCTGAAGCCAGATTTTCCCATTATAAACCAAGAATGATGTGTTGTTGACACATATTAGAATGTTGACGGAAACATTACATTTTATTTTTCTCATAGCAAGTCATCTGTGTGTTATGAATAGAGTGTGTACATTTCGAGTAATGCACTTTCTGAAAGGTACCCATTTTACGCAACTGTCGTAATCAATCAGTTTTGACTCAATCATCTCAACTTTCGTATCAATGAATGAGGAATTTAAATGCTCAGACAATGACACATGACACAAATTGAAGTGTTTGGTCAAAACTGCTTGGTTGCTTATATTCGTGAAATAGGTACCTTTTAGAAATAGGCATTACTCGAGGGATGTACACAGCCTATTTATGACTCTTTGCATTTTATGATAGAAACTTTTTTGGTAGGTTTACAGTCGTTTTTGTGCACGCTGATCATGTTTTTTTTCTCTCTTTGCACTTGTTCAAAATGAATAAAGTTTTCATACGTTGCGAAAGCAAAACTACTGTTTGCTTAATCGAAATAGAAATACTAGTAGGTTGATCGGAAAGTCTGGTCTGCTTTTTTAAAGGTTACTTTTTAGAAATCAATAATAAGCCCATTGATTTATGATTTTTTTAACAGAAATTCTATTTATTTACAAATTGCCCTACAATTACAAGTTTGTTTCCCAATTCTTAAAAACTCGCGTTAGTTGATTTGTTTAAAGGTGTGAAGTGGAGCAGTCAAAAACGATGAAACTCTTCGCTTTGAGCACAGAAACCTATTTTGGTGTCAAAGAAGATAGAGAATAAAAAGTTAGGCAGGTAAATTTTTATAACATTTCACCAAGTCCTTTTTCATTCTAGGTCCATTGCAAGGATTTTAGGAAAAACAAGAATTCCCGTTCGGATTTGCTTCAAAGCTGACTCAAATTTGCCTAAAATAGCTAAAAGTAATAGTTAATCCTTTTTATTTAAAGCAAGCCATACGTTGATCGGCTAATTATTCATTTATAAAGGAAAATTTCAAAGAGGACAAGAGTTTCCGGCCAAACCAATATTTCAAACAGTGTAATAGTGAAAAGCGAGAATAACAGGAAACCGACATCTTTATTTTTGACTAAAGTTTAAAGTTAATTCGTTTCCAGAAAGAAATCAATGATGATGAGACAAATAATCGACTCAAATAAAAACTCTTTTTTTGTCATGGATTCAAACAAAAACCAAACGATTTTTGTGATAAGAAGAAGCAAAAGTGTGAGTCACCTCAAATTAAGAGGTGCAAGCCAAATGCCAAAAGCCAAATTTTTCAATTACGATTGGATGATGGTTGTTTTCAACAATTTATTATGCAAAACCAAGTTTTGGCTAGCAAAAGTGAAATACAAAAAAGTTATGACACATAAAGAACAATAGGGTGATCAGAAACACCCAGTCCGAATACTCCGTTCCAGGCTCATCTTTCTGTTATTTGTAGACCAAAGCGATTAGTTTCTTTTTTAAATGAAAATTCACATCATTTTCTGTATGTGTTCAATATTTCATGATCATAACCTTGATCGATAATTTTTTATGTACGCTTAAAAATGGCTGTTCACAAAATTACCGAGCCGCAACTCAAATTTGAGATTTTTGAAAAAAAAAACCCAAAAAAAATACTTTTTTCTTTGCAGTTTCTTTTCTAAAAGCTAAGTTTTTATTATGTTTAAGCAGATTTAGTTTAAAAAAATATTAAATCCGTTAATATTTTCTATAAGATCATCGATAAAGGAACCCCTAAATTTGGCCATTTTTAAGCGTACATCAAAAATTATCTATCGATGTGATGATCATGAAATCTTAAGCACATACAGAAAATGATGGGAAATTTCATTTAAAAAAGAAACTAATCGTTTTGGTCTACAAATAACAGAAATTTGAGCCTAAAAAAGGATGGGTGCTTTCTAGTCACTTTGTAACTGTAAGCTAAAAGTCACTAGTCACTTTGTAACTGCAACTGTAAGCTAAAAGTTGAAACCCGCTGATAAAACAATACAAACATTCATTTAGAAAGAGAGTCTTGTATATCCACTCAAAAGTTGTTTGTTAAGCAGTTCTTTGTGCTTTTGATTACGATCCTTCATTTCCTCGTCAGTGACCGGTTGCCGATTCAGGGCATGAGTTTGCAATCGCTTCTAGAATGGACTTGGTGCATATTTTCTAAAAAAGCGAAAGCGCTGGTAAATGGCAATTCCATTCAGCTCAATTTCCATTTTTACACAGCGGCGCAATCTTCATAGTCCCTATTTTCTGAACTTAGCCAAAAAGAGAATAATCTAGAGACTGATTGCTTTTAAAATTTAAAACCTACATTCAATCCTTGTAGAAATGGATGCTCCAAACATTCCTCTGCACTTGGTCTGACTTTTTGATCCGGGTTCAGCATCTTTTGAAGAAGATCACAGAAATCTTCGACTGTAATGTACTTAATGTACTAATCAATCTAAAGCGAACTCCAAAGCTAAAATTTTACCAACCATCCAGTAGCCCGACATCAACCACATTTACATATTGAAGGCTACTTTTCTTGCATAACCTCTTGAGCTCTTCAGTAAGTTTATTGGGTCTTTTCACGCATCTCAATTCTTTGCCAAAACTAAATGAAGTTTTTGTAAGTTTAAACCAGAATTTTACTTACATGCTATAGTAGTAATCATCTGGAACACCTAGAATGTCAAGAATTCGATTTAGCACGATTCGAGTTGATCCAAATTTCTTTGCCTAAAATGACTTTTAAGGCCACAAGTTGGAGCTGAAAACGTTTTCAAATTTTTAAAGAATTCGAAAAATATTTAACAAAAATGTTAGAAAAGATGCGGATACTATTGAGAAAAAATATTGGGTTGATGAATTGAAAACTCCCGGCTATTGTCATATGTGACAGTTTGAGCACTTTCTTCAAAAGAAACCCATTTTGAGATCAATGGAAAAGTTGTAGAGAATCAAAAATGAAGCTTATATCCAAATTTTCAGAACGATTCAAGAACTGGTTTTCAAGAAATGCCAAATTTACGAGTTTTCACAAAACTTGCATTTTAAGCGAAACCATTAAATGTATCTTTTTTGAAAATTTGGATATAAGCTTAATTTTTGATTCTCTACAACTTTTCTATTGACACCAAAATGGGGTTCTTTTGAAGAAAGTGCTTAAACTCGGACATCTCCAGTCCTCCATTTTTGAGTCTCACACTTGTCTCACACACAAACCAAAATCCTACTACGAAAGAGGAATCCGCAAATTGTCTGTAAAATGGGCAAAAGTCGTCAATAATAATGGAAATTATTTGGAATGAATTCATGAATTTTATGTTGAATAAATTTTAGTTCAAAGTCCCGCAGTTTTCAATTCACCAACTTATTTAATGATGAATGAAAACCTTAAATTGGCATTAATAGAAATTTGCAAATAAACAAATTTGCATAACCACAGTAGTTTTTTTTGAGCCGCACGCTTTAGAAAGTGTATTAATCAAGCAACAAACTCTAATCAAAATTGCACCTCCATTCTTATTTCTTCGTCACTTCCAGGCGGTTGAAAAAGCTTCTCTCCCAGCCATTCGATGGTCACCAACGCTGCCGCCCAGATGTCAATTTTTGTGTTGTACTTGATTTTGACTAGCATTTCAATTGCTTTATATCGGAGAGGTGCATCGACAGTCATAGAATAGTCATCATCATTCAAATCAATTGGCCTAAAACAGAAACAGCTCTCTCATTAAAAGTGATTTACCGTGAAAGGCCAAAATTTAGGATTTTCAATTGTGATCTGTGCTGATTGTAACCGATATGTTGTGGCTCGATATTCTATAAATTGAATAGCTTTTGAGTAAATCAGCTCTTTACTCGATGCATGATCCCATTCTGATGTAGATAATCAAGTCCTCTCAATAACTGGGCAAGAAATGAACCGATGAGATATAAGAATGTTTTCCGGTCGAGCTTTTTATAATCTTGCATTCTAAAGGCTTTACTTTTAAATGGATTCTTTTTATTTACCTAAATACCTAAAATATTGTTCCATATTGTAATCCATTCGCTCAGAAACCAACCAATAATGGGTTATTTTAGTCGTTCCATCAAATTCCGGGAAAGCCTCATAGTATTTAACAATCTGAAGTGACTATTTTTGATGCTAATGATCATTTGATTACACTTTCATGATAATGAAAACGGGCGAACTCTATCTCTCTTATTAGCCTCGTGTAGCCATCGTTTAGCTTCTCCAATCTCTCTACATTGTATCTAAAAAGCTTCAATTTCTTAGCAAGAAGAGGATCAATAACTTTCTTGACTTACAAGATTTTACATGAACTAACCTTATTGACTTATCAGCTTTTACATTTTGCTTACCTCTTACAAACCACTCTCTTCCATTTTTCATCTTTTGACTCAAACTGTGGTAGTTCATCTGGATTTTCCGCTCGTTCAACTGATGGATAATACAATAGCGCTGCACTAAAGCATCTACAGGGTGGCTGAAAAGTTCTGATACCTTATGAAAGAGTTCTTTTTGATGGGAAATATTGAGAAACTTTTTAAACTATATTTGATTTTCAGATTCTCCATATATTTTTACATTAGAAACTTAATTTTCAGCTCACTAGCTCCATTCGGAAAAGATTAACGTTAATTTCTTTCTGTTGTGCGTTAATGTTCGTTGGTCGCACCCTCATGGGCAACAAGGAAAAAAGAAACGTCACTCATTTTGCCATTTGTGCCATAAAAAATCTTTTTGATTATCTTTGCTACTTAATTTCACTTTGAATATAAAGTGCTTAATAATAATATTAATCACTTTAATAATAATAACTGAAAAAGGTTTTAGTGAGAAAAAAAGTACTCCAATGTAATAGAATGGCAATAGAACGACAAAATGGGTGACTTTTCTTTTTCCCTTGTTAGCCATGAGGATGCGACCAACCACCATTAGCACACATCAGAAAGAAATTAGCGTAAAACTTTTTCGAATAGAGCTAATGAGCTGAAAATTTAGTTTATAATGTAAAAATATGTGGAGGGCCTGAAGATCTGAAGATCAACATATTTTAAAAAGTTTTCCAATATTTCCCATCAAAAAGAACTGTTTCATAAGGTATCAGAACTTTTCAGCTACCCCTGTATTTCATGTTTAAGCTACTATTTGAAACCAGAGCCAATTTATAGATCATTTTTTTTGATTGAATCAGCTTATGCAAGAACCACCCACACAATGCTCCCGAATTCGCCTTTGGCCAAGATGTGAAAATGATCATCCGGTGTGGCTGGATTGCGTGATGCTTTGTCATTCTGAAACTTGTTCATTCTAACATTGATGACTCGACTACATACAATATCTGGTGTGTATCCTTTCAAATGTCGAAAATGGACCGTTTCGACACGATCTTCTGGCAAAAAATGTGCCAAGCTCTGCACATAACTTTCTGGTAAAAACCGTGCCACGTTCATCTAAATGTGAAAAAGAGTAATCAGTTTATTATTAGTTTTCAATGCTTTTATTAAAGTTACAGTATAATAGTACAAAAAGAGTGCGGTAGTAGACAGAGAAGTCTAACCAAAGAAAGTAAACTGATCCAATCAGCTGAGTTCAGTCTTTATATAGTTTTTTTATGTCTTGTTTACGTGATGAGTAAAAATTTACGTAATTAAATGGGATATTTATAGAAATCAATATTGAGAAACGTGGCTTGATGATAAAAATCCTCACAGAGCTAAAAAAGAAACGCAACAAAACCGCACAAAGAAAGAAATCCAAAGAAAAAGAAATCCAAGATATTTTTTATGATAAGAAAATGAAAAAATGATTCATCAATCACATGAAAAGAAACTTTAGGGAATCTTTCATGTT